GCTGCTATAGAATTAACTATCATAAGAAGCACGCCATGTGTCTGCGGAAGGACGCAATCGTCTGTGGAGTCACTTGAAGTATTCGCGCTGTATTCCAATGAAATATTCTGTATATTCATTATTGATTGATTCTGGAAACAAAGCAAAACTGATGTGTAAACCTCTATTGTTTACTTCTTCGGGAGTCAAGAAATTATGGCGTGATTCCCAATTACTTGTGTGAACTACCAATTCTGTCGAGATATCTAAATATGTTCTTCGAGTGTCAAGGGAATACAGATATTGGAGTTTCAGTTGTTTCACTTTTGCATTTGATATACGATCTCGAGGGAGACTGGGGTGGGCTGGATCAATCGAGTCTTCGAATACAAGAAATGATGTATTAAGAGGGTGGCAAAGGAGGGGGGGAGGGGTTGCAATCACACATCACGCGAATTTTTCTATTAAATTACGCATCACGGAGGATTTTTTTAACCAATCTCGCGTCACGTAAAAAAGGAGTAAGTACGCTCAGCTAATACTGTAAGGTTTTTATCCCATCGGATGTATTATTAGAAATTGTATTGCATCCGACGTTTTCCTTCTGGTATGAATTGCGTTTCACATGACATATTGCTTTTGTTAGACAATAAAGACGACTTACTTGTTAAAACTAGACGCTCCGAGAGCGTTTACTCAGGCTTCGTATCGGAATGTTAAATCGTACTTTACAAGTATTGAACACAGTAAAAACGAAGAGTCTTGATTTTTTCAACATCTGAGGTGTTCGTCTGGGCATCATAGTCATCATAGTTCGTTGTTCAAGGAATCAGTAGTCGTAGCTTTGTCAATGTTTCCGTAGTTTGAACTTTTGTATGGTATAATGGTTGTCTCGTGAGAACTAGTATGAACTTTGTCAAATTGGCTATCTTTCAAGCTGTAGAATTCATGGACTGACCCGTGGACTTTACTACCACGACCACGAGATCGACAAAACTAACACAGAAGGTCATAGTCCATGTGCAAATTTTAACTTTATTAACTTATGCCTTTTGTGTCACGATTGTTTGGACCTACCGCGAAGATTAAAGACATCCAAGGTCAAGCAAAGCTTAGCAAAGGACGGAAAAGACCAGAAGACAGTGTCACAACTGCCCTGGTTTATTGATTTTTGTTAAGAGTCTATTTACTTTTAATGTCTGGTATCCTTCTTGGTCAAAGAGCGTTCACTTATCACGGAAATCTGATTAGTAAGTCTTGTAAATCACGCGTCACGGCTTGTAAAAATAGCAAATCACGCATCATGTTGTGATGTCCGGTCCCGCATCACGCGGATAATTTGGGTACAATCACGTGTCACCCAGCAAATTTTGGGGCCATCACGCGTCACGCAAAAACCCTTTGCCATCCTCCTTCAACGCTCACGAAAAAATAGCCGCGACTGATGTCTTCTCTCTCTTAACCTGAACGAAATTTTAAAAAAGCGATGAGAATGTCAGGTTAGTGCCAGAAAGTATTAAGAAAGATTTCATTCCCTGAACACTGATTTACCTTGTGAAATCCTATTGTTCGTGTCCCTGATTGGACGAACGATGCATTTTCATCGTCGTTCGCTTCGTACTTCAGAGTGTAAACATCATATCAGGGAAAGTGCGCACGAACAGCATGTTTTTAGTCATTCGTTGCGATGCATCAAAAAACTCACTCGTTCGCTGCGCTTAGTCGTTCTTTTTTTTTTTATTCAACGCAACTCGTGAATAAGAATCGTTCCTGCGCACTTTCCATGGAATAATCGCTATTTCTGCAACACAAGTTGACAGATCACAACAGTTGTCAGTCTTCCCGTGCAACCTCATTGATAAAAACATTTGAATGTTTAATGGATTGGACGAAGCAGATAAGAGAAACTCGAGACCTTTCAAATGACCGATTCAAACATTTTCTAGCCGAGGCTAAGGCATCAATACACCGTGATGTAAAGTTTTGTTACTGTATAATATATGGAGGCTTTTCCAGAAACTGAACTAATTATGACTACTGGGTACCTGGCACTAGTATTAGGCTTTTTATTGCAACCTGGGAGAATAGGTCTACATCACGGAAAAATTGAAAGTTGAAAAAACTGCAGAACAGGCGTATTTAATATTTCATTTTATTTTATCTTTACCCTCTGTACACCTTTCCTTTGCATTTGCAAAGACCAGTTTGAAGCAAAATTGAGGTTCTTCTACGTACAACCGGATTGCTTTGACATGTTTCAATGCATCGAATAGAAAAATGCCGAATGGATAAAGTCATTCGCGGTTTTTTATGTGTTCGAATGCAAATTAAGGTTGACTCATTGTGTTCTTTACATTAATCAGTTTCGAGATTTCCAACTATGAATCGAAAGTAGGAAAATATTTGGATATAATTCATAAGCTTAAGTTAAGCGTATGATTTTTAATATTATTATAATAAATTGATCATTGCAACTGATCCCTTTACCACAGGACATAATATCAGAAGCTCTACCATACAATAGAACCGGTGTTTGCATTTTCAACTCAGCAACCGAACATCTTGCGGGATATCGAGATATAGGCATCGCGGAAGTCTCGAACTCTTGCGCTGTAAACAACAAAGTTCATAGCAGAGTTAGAGAGAGCCAAAGATCTAATCCACATGTATGCTGGACCATACTTTTCAACCAGAGATTTTCCTGCGATGAAAAAAACAGCAATCAACGGAAACCAGGTGACAGAAAACAAAATGATCACAATTGCCAGTGTTAGTGCAACACGCCGTTCGACTTTCAAATTGACATCAATGGATGATTGCGCTCCCACACGGCCCTTTCGTTTCCTTCCCCTGACCAAAGTAAGCAATATCAACAAGTAACAAACGAACATGAGGAAATAACCAACGGCAAACATTACTGCAGCTAAGTAATAAGTTTTTTTCGGGAAGAGCTGTCGAACTGTGGCGAATGCAAAAGCGACAACCCACACTGCCACCAGCATGATTTTTAAGCCGTAGTTCTTCATGATCCGACCGTGACGAAGAGGGAAGGTGACAGCTAAGAAGCGGTCCATACTGATTGCCACAAGATGCATAATCGACGAGGAACAGCAAAGGTTGGCTAAAAGTGAGTAACCGAGTTCAAGACTAGGCGCACACTCGTGTAGAAAGGTTATTTTACCGACCATTGCCACGACCAAAGGCTCGCAGATCACTGTTATGATCAAGTCAGCAATGGCCAAACTAAGCAATGGGATATTCGAGCATCGGCGAAGACGAGGCTTGGTGAGTACCGCTATGCAAACAAGAAAATTACCAAACGTACCTAACAGGGCAATCAGCGTGTTAACTACCATTATAGCACAGCCATGGTATAGGGACAGGCAACAAACTTCAGCGCTAGAGATTGATGGATTAACTTTGATCACCGAAGAGTTGTTCATAGTTTTGCCTGAAAGAAGACTAGGACTTCATTTTGCAAGTTCGATAAATGGACTCAAAGGAGAAAACAAACACGGTAATAGCGCGAGCCTGCAATGCTCATTGGCTTACTGAATAGCATTTCTAGAATGCCTAAAACTAATTTCTGTTTCGAAAATATGACGGTCCTATTTCCTCTCAAAAATCTAACTTCTTTTTTTTTTTTTAATCATTGGTCGTCTCCCTTTCGCGTATTCTTTTTTGTGCGTTTGTTATATGTTAACAAATCATTTGGGTGTAAGTTGGTAAACGAGCTTAACCCTGTAGGGTTTGTGCAATTTTCACTAATGCTAATTTACTCCAAAATGCACAAGAAATAGTTTCAATAGCACTCATCTTTTTTTTAACTTTCTACACCGAGTTTCCTATTTATTCATTCAGTCATATCGGTATCTCATTGGACTATACGGGATTAACTTTAGTTCTCACAACTAAAGAAAATGATTAAATTTTTGCATCCACTCTATTACCTATTAAATAAGTCGTGAAAAAAATAACCTGTCATTTCCGCAGCCACTTGGCAATCGCTCTAAACCCAGGCTTTCCATTCATCATGGTTTCGATACTAGAATTAAGTCAATTGTTTTGTTTAAATTGGTTTCTTATTATGAAGCGTTATGCAGGAAGAGTTAAGAAATCAAAACTATTTGTGAATCACCCGCTGTTAGTTTCATCTTCATAGATAATCCGTTTTCAGTCTTAAGCCAATCAAATAAAATATTTAACCTCCTAGTGAGGATCCATTTCTTCAAAATAACGAACCAAACATAAAAAGGACTGTATAGACCATTTAATTGAAAAATTTCAATTAGTTTAAATAAGCTTTCCATAACTTTAAATTAGATTTTGTTTATACAACACGTGTTCACGCAAAAATTCATTAGTCCTGTAGCACTTGTCTTCTCGATTCCGTTAGCGAAGGTCTCTCACCATTGCATTGTTTGACTATGCAGCCTCCCCTTCTTCCGAAGATAGATGTGCATTGGGGTCTGAGTCGGAATCAAACATGCCACCTTTTTGACGAACTGTGTCCTTCATTCGCCTGTTATCAGCGGCTGCTGTCTTCCAAACTTTTTCCAGTTCTTTGTCAACGTTCCTGTGGTACAGATGAAACTAATAAGTACTTCAGTATCAACCGACAAAATGAACTGCTATTGAATGACATGACATAAACAGCATCTGCAGAAAGACTTGACCATATCGCGAGAGAATCCTATATCTCACCTGTTGTCTCCAATCATTAATTCCAACTGGCGTTGTTTTTGTCTGACCACAGCGCGAAGATTATTAATTTCCCCCTCGTACTGCTCTTTAAGTTTGTTGATTTCGGTTTCTTTCTCTCGCAGCCTGTTTGGATTTGGATGGATAACAAAACTTCGTTTTAACAGGTCATTTCTTGGTCTCAGCGCGTATCTATTTGAATAGTTTGGCTGTCTTCCTAGGCTTTTTGTCAGTTCTCACCAGAATTGCTTCTCAGCTGTGCTATAGAACTTCATAAAAAAATCAGTTCAAACAGAAAATTTCCTTTTCATATCGTTTTGCTCGGGAGCTTTATCAGCAAATCTCCTCTTTAAACGCTTGTCTGTCCTTTCCTAATTCAGGTCGTAACAAATCACATTTGAGAATTTCCATTTGAAGAACTAAACAATCTGTCACCTACCTTCCCGTTACTATGGCGACTTTATCCGTGGCCTTTCTCCTGTACTCCTGAAAACAATTAAAAAATTAATCACACTAAAATAGAAGTAGAGTGTGTTAGGAGGGAACAGCTTGATTAAGTCGATCGTACTGCGCATGTGCGAGAGTAGTTTTACGGACCTCGTGTTGTAAAATGAGAGCCAGAGTGAGAGAGATGAAGATGTACACATAGGACTTTCTTCGTGTCGAATTAAATTGTTATTGCTCCTGTTGCCCATACGTAGCGTCGTTGTGACATGGTGCAAGATGTGTAGTATTGTTTTTACAAAGATTATTCCTTGAGTAACCACTTAAATATACTCTTCCTAAAGCAAGTTGCTGAATGTATTACCAGATGTTTTTCTATTTTCCGTACCTGGAGTTTTTCCTCGAGTCCTTTGATGTTCTGAGTTCCGGCAAGAATTTTCGAGGCAGCTTTCTGTTGTTCCGCCTTCTGTGTCTTGGCCTGCGATGTATATCCAATTAATAAAATAGCAACATCACGGTATCTGGAAGAATATTTGAAAACGTACATGTACACGGAAAGCACAGAAGTAAACTTACAAATTGTACGTAGTTGTCCCTCTCGGCTGCTGTTTTCTCCGCCTAAGGAAAGAAAATCTCAGTGAAATTCACTGAAAGCATTTAGTCTAGAAAGCGTAACACTCGTTTCCTTTATTTTTCAGCCAGGCCGAAGACCCTTTCCCTACCCCCTCCCAACCCCTGTTTGAATTTTTTTGTTTCTTTGGCCCTATGCCTTCGGATGCGCCACGTTCTCTCACTCATGCTTTTCTCGCTAAAAAAGGAAAAAGAAAAGCAGCAAACGATGCAAAGAGGGTGTGGTCAGGTTGGGACCAGAGGCATCTGGGTAAAGATCGACTAAAATTTAGTAGTAGTCACGCAATTCAGTGACACGTCACACTTACAATGGTTAGAACTTGTGACAGAGTCTCCTGCGCTGTCAGCTCTCGTTCCTGAATGTGCTCTAACTTTCTTTGAAGAAACAGAAACTTCCGCTCCGATTTCCTGTAGATTAAGACAGACGACGGTTCTCAGCCTTCTGGCTATAGAAAGAAATTAATCATCAACCCCCAATTTATGTTTATGCCAGCAACAGACAAACCAAATCGCGCTACTTTCGCGCGTACAGTTTGCGCTGAGCTACAGTTGCAAACTGATTTCTGATTTCAATCAGTCGTCTTCAAAGTGGGGCAGCTACCTGGGTAGGATGGGGGCACGGAGCGCGATGTGTAGGGAGAAAGTGAGAGAGGAAGACGACGTCTTCTCCTCCATTTCCTTCTCATGAGCCCTCTCTTCCCCACTTTGGCGCGCACCTTTTGGAGACGACTGGGAACGAGTCAATTACAAGAATGGAGGACGCCTGTCACATGTGTTCCTAATGATGGGTTGGCTCGCCATTGATTTCTCTGTTGCTCAGTTGGTAGAGCTCTGAAGCAAGAAATCAGAAGGTTTTGGGGATATCGAGTCCTCTCTGGACATTCAGATTTGTCTTGATCCTACGCTGGTAAAAAATCTTACCAACTTCCTAAAATTAAACTTGTACTCACTGCAGAGACTTCTTGTAAGCATCAAGCTCTCGTTCAAGTTGTGCGCTCTTAGCTTCGCCATCTGCAATCCAACAGTGGAGACTTTCAGATTTAATAAACAAATTAGAATCGATTAGAATTATTGAGAACTTATGAACATAGCCTGAAGAACAAGGGCTTTTTTGCCTTTTATTTAAAGGGCGAAGGAAAGCATGAGGCGACAGCGTGGAGACCATGAATAGCGAGTCACAGGAGTCATGCACCTCTTCTTGCGCGCATGACAAACTTGCGTGAAAAGATGGCGCCTGTTCCGCCTGCCAAAATGCACATGACATATTTTCTATTGTTTTTAAAAATGCATTTACGTACACTACATAAACAACAAATACCTGCAAATTTTATGGCTAAGTTGCTCTTTTCTTTCTGGACTGCCTTTATTTTAACATGAAAAAGGCACCATACATTAGTAACTTTCAACAATGGCCTTCAAAGCAAAAGCGCAGCAGTATATACAAGATGTTGAGCCATCTGAAGTAAAACTGAGGAAACATTCCTCAAAATTCGAATTTAAGAGCTCCTCGCAGCTAAGAGCACTACTGAACTAGTAGTTGAAAATAGGACCTGAAAAAATTCAGGCCCATACGGGATTTGAACCCATGACCTCTGCGATACCGGTGCAGCGCTCTACCAACTGAGCTAACAAGTCAACTATTCGTCTCTTCACTGCAGTGCAAATATGTGAATTTCACATATCTAAAATCATCATTCCTCAAAATTTTTGCGCGAGGGCAGACTTCAACTGCAAGGAGAGTAAGAAAACAAACTTGTCTTAAGTTGGTTTTGTGAAATCTTTTTAGTGCCAAAAGTAATTGTCCGTGTTGCTTCACTAAGCTTTGTGATTGGTCTAGGAAATTCGCGCCATCCTCTCGACTAATCAGATGCAAAGCTAAAACTAATAAAGATGCGGTAACACGCGTTTTCTCGCGCATTAGGAAGTTAGCTTGTTTTCTCTGTGAGTTCTAATTGGGGCCTGGTAAATATTTCGGCTTCTCCTGATTGTCCGTTGTGATACAAAATTAACTTGAATGTTGCTCTATTATTCCTTGTGATGGGTAAAAAAAAACGACTCGTGCAAACTTTCCTTCTAACCAAACTACCAGTACCCTGTAATTTATACTGACAAACTGTGATGGTTTGTTAATTCACCTGTAACTTCGAATTGTATTCCTCTGTCTCTGATTTCGTTTTCGCCTTCAAGTCTTCAAGTACACTAGAAAAAAGAAAAGCAAGAAAATCAGGTTATTATCCTACGCAGAACGCGCTCAAATTAAGCTGATGAGTAGTAGGCGCAGTAAAGATGAAGGTGCCTTCCCGCTCGTTCATGCCTCCTCCAAGCAATCGTGCCAACATATTTGGGCGTTACGCTGGGTAAGTTGAGAACACGAAGAGAAAACTGTCAACACTGCTGGGTCTTACAACATTTTCCACGTATGTCATTCACCAAATGGTCTCTAAGTACAGTGGTAAAAGCTGTTTCTGGAATTCGCACTTTTCATCGCTGCAATCTTTTGTCACCTTGTAATTTCTAATGCTAGTCAACGGATGCAAAATTTAATTCTACGCATTTCCAGTCAAACTAATGGATGTTTTTTATCGTTTCTTTCTCCATCACATGAAAGACGTGCTGGTAACCTCTTACCTCCTGCATTCATCCATTATTCTAAGATGCTCTTGAATCAACATCTTGTTTTCCTGATCAGCAACCATGGCCTCATGTTGACGCATTAGGTTGTTATGGGTACGACGCATGTCATCTAGCTCCGTTTCAAGGCGCCGCCGAGTTGACTCTTGACTTGAAATCCGTTTGGACAACTTGGAGACTGAAAAGAAAATAGCGACAATATTCACCAATCAAAAACAGACGAAAAGGAAATATCTAAAACACTTGAATCAATGAAGTTAAAAACTTTGTCAGATTAGCGGTACAAAACAACATCGTAAGACCACAACGTGTCTCGAATATGAAAAAAATTATAACATTACCACGCTGGACACGCATCACTGACTTGCGTTTTTTCAGTCCAATGAACGCAAGCACGAAGGGGCGAGCCATGCGCGTGTCACGTGTGTCTCTGCCCCTCACGCGCGAGACTTGTCTTTATTCGCGGGCGAAACAAAAAGATACCGTTTGTTTCGCAAGCTCTAAGTAACCTTTCGCGAACCAGCGTATGAAGCATGCGCCTTTAGCATTGCGTGAGAAAGGGAGGTAAAAGTTAGCGATAGCCACCTTCTAATCCGTGGATTCTCTTCATTTCCTTCATTTTTTTGTCTTGTATTTCTTGTTGTTCCATCAACAGAGCGTTCTCCTCAACCACTAGTTTTGCCTGTTCCTGCAGTTGTTGCCTGCAAGAAAATAGAGTCAAACGCCGTTAAGTCAATCTGTTACAGACCTAGCAGAACACTTTGCAGCAGAGTATCACAAAACCAAAACCGAAGAAATCACAACGGCCAATAAAAAAACCAAAGATTGTTGTTTGGAAAACTTAAAGTAAAGGCATGAACACAGTGCTAAACGCGAGAAAACGAGAGTAAGCAAGGTGCGATTGGTTGTCAAAGTGGTTCTGCAATTGATTGGTTAAAACGCTGGCAAGCTTTCTACGTTGTAGACTAATCACCAGTCATAGTAAAGTAAAACCAGTGCAATCAATTTGAAATTGCTGGAAAAAATACGGGCAAAACTTTCAGTTCATCACAGGATCAATAAAAAAAAAATGGTGCTGTCAATACTAACAGTGCTATTTACGATATAAAAAAACAGAGGAAAAAATTTTACAGGAAATCAACCAAAACGAACCAGTTTCACGTGGTTTAGACAGCCACGAAACGATAAAAAAGTAAAAGTCCTTCATTATCAAAACAAAATATTGACGTCTCTTACCATTCATCCGGCCCCAATGCATCAGGACTGGCCTTACTGATGCTCTGTCATTAACAAATTAAACAAATTTTTATAAGAAACACAGGAAACCAGGTATAGAGGTCGAGATGATGATCAAAATCTAACTTTCTCGCGAACTATGTAGACAAACACAAATCAAAGTAGTATGAAAAATGAAGCGCTGAAAAGAAATTATGTCCACAGATGGAAAAATTCTTCAACAGTTACAAATATGACAGCATTAGGAAAGTTGTCAGAGAATCTGTGTGTTGCCTGTTGATAGCCACGACTGAGACAAACTGAAGTTACCATATGAAGCTGCTGATTTTCCTTGACAACTTCCATGACTCGAGCCTTAAAAGAGTTCAACTCTTCCTACAAAGATAAATTGCAGCCAAATTACAATCGCAATTAAGAAGAAAACCGAAAAAGGGCAACTGTAAAAGAACAATGGAAAGAAAGAGCTCTGAGGCCGGCTGTTCGAAGGCCGATAACCACTAACCAAGGCTTAAATTTTATTCCGGGTTTCTTTACTTCTCTATCCAAGAGCTTTTTTCAAAGTAATTTTCTCTACTCTTTTCAGAGCATGCAATCATCAAATTTTTAGGCAAAAAGAATTAAACTGAATTTTCTTTAACAGCTGTCAGATCCAAAATCAAATTTCACACTAACCATGAGTTTTCTTGACCCAGCTTTGAACATACCCAGCCCGGCTTGTTGTAGGAGAGAATTCCCAATTGACACTTATGGACCAAGCCTATATGCCTTTCACCTGTTTGTTGCTTATCCCGTTTATTCTAAGGAAACTCTATTTTCTTTAATCTTACTGAATAGGATGGCCATCATAAACCGAATTAATAATCGATAACGAAGCTTAAAACGACTTACATCGTAAGTTCTGATCATTTGTTCTTTTTCTCTCAATCGATCGTCGTACGCCAAGAAAAGCGGCGCCAAGAACTTGGTGTTTACCTGAAAAAAAAAGAGAGGAAATTACAGCTTACATGAAGCATCATTTAATTCATATATTCGTGACCAGATCCATAAAGTGAAAAAAAACAAGCAAATTTGCTCTATTCCAAACTCGTGGTTCAGTAGGTACAGTAGTTGCGCAGATGCACGGATTGGAGCTTCGTCGAAGGATGGATTTCTTCAAGCTTCTTTTTCTGCATTTTCTTCAATAGCAGTTCACCTTTGACGATTATGGGATGGGAAAATATTCAGACTGGTTTATTTATTATAATGAAGCTATAAAGAAAATTGAACTGTGAATACTTTGATAATTCAATTCACAACGCCCTTTCTTCATTTGTACAGTTATTGTTATACCTACCAGCCACGGAGCTGCCTCCTTCTTGTACGGCAATGCCATGCCTTCTACCTCCTGGAGAGAACAAAGTACGCGAGTTCCGAAACACAATCACAACCGTTTACTAATAAAAATGTTATTTCTGAAGTTTGAGTGACATGGGAACGAATTGGTCGGAAATTAATACTCTGATGGCACGTTGAAGAGGTTCGCGTGGCATCATAGAAGTTTCGGATTATTTAAGCGTTTAGCGAGAAAATTAAGTCATTCTAGCTCGGTCAGTCCTATGTTTGACCACTTTCTTTATTGTATTTGTTGTAATTTTGGTATTCCAACTTCCTGTAAAATATCATTACAATCATTGATTTTTCTTTGTGATTAGCAGTGCCGTAAGGTTAGTTCATCTTTTCCTCAAAGTATTGTGCTGCTACATTATCAGGGTGCACATGTTAAGGTTGTATCAGGATGCGTATACTAGAAGACTGACTGACTCATCCTAAATAAACTCTTTACATTGAATGTCTCGTATGAGTGTAGTCAGAAAGCAATATCTTTGAGTTCAGTACCCGCTCGTTACCTCAAATGACACAGGGCGATATTTTGCTTGGTATCTGCTGAGTTCCACGTTGAGTCTGTGAACTGCAAGAAGAGCAAAAGCATACATATCCCTCTAAATTTCTGTTCAACAGCTAATTGCTCAACTGAGAGTGTGCCTGTAGTTTGTAATTTCCACTGATCAGAAAAACAGCACCACGTAAAATGAAAAAGAAGGACACCAATGTAAGTAGGTAGAGGTCAAAGAAAGCAAAGAGAAAATAAAATTGGCAACAACTTTACCAGACCTGTATCACGTAAAACTTTCTGTTCTTGATGCAAGTCCTTGATTTGCTTTTGTAGAACTACAGAAGAAACACCTGGGTAAACAACAAGAAATATTTTTCACTCGACGTTGTCCACGCATAACACGTATATAACTGCCAAATCAAATATAATCAATAGCCGCTGTTTAGCCCGAAAATAAGTACGGACAGTTCGAGCAAAATTGAGGCTATTGTGTTTATCATCCTTCAGATATTTTGCAACGCGTGTGAAAAAATGTTAACCAACATCTTACTGTTTGCTGCGTGGGATGTTTTCTTTTGAGTGCTCTCCGGTACGGCTTATGAACAAACAAATATTTCCCTTCTTCTGTAACAACCACAAAACGCTCAAATTTTGAACGAAGACTTATATCGTAGTGGACATTAGGTTTGAAAATTGGGGAATATCAATTGGGAATATTCGGCCACGTGATGCGTTTAGACCAATTGCGCGCGAGCAAAAAGATTTGATGGATCCTAAAAAGAGTTCACCCTAACTTAGACGTGCAACCACTTAGTGTAGCAATCTCACCTGTTCCTTTTTGGAGAGAGAGTGATAGCTGCTTTAAAGCCTTGTTTTCTTCTTGTAACGACGTGTTCAGTTCCATCATAGCCGACTTCTCTGACTCTAGCAGTTCAATTCGTCCTTTGGATAAGCGGTAAACTTCATCATCTCTCACGACCTGGACTCTGGTTATTTCTGCGTCTGTCTTCGTTATCACTGGTTCAGATTCAGCACTTCTCATTCGGGTTTTCCTTGAGTTTCTTTCCCCTTTTTCCCGCGCTTTCCTCCCGACTCTCTTGCCATGCTTTGGGCTGTCGGCGTCTCCGTCGCTCCATCTTCCTTCTCTATCAACGTGGCGTGAGCTGTCCGCGCTTCGTTGCTTATGTCTGTCTCGTCTTCCTTCTATTTCATCACGATACGACAAGTTCGAGCTTTGACTAGCACTCTGAAGCGCATGCCTGACATCGTCAAATTGAGGAGAATCGTCCGTTGCTCGGTTACTTTTTCTCCCTTTTTTATCTTGGTACGAACTTGCAACATTACCCTGGGTGTTTCTTTCGTCCAGTCTCTTCTCACCGTAACCATGATCATCTCCTCTGTCTAGTCGTTCCATTCTTTTTCTATCCGACGATTCAACACTCACAGCATTAAGTCTTTTCTTCCACTGCTCTTCAGACTCCACATGTTTTCGCCGCATTTCCTCGAGTTCCTCCTCCAGTTGCATCCTCCTTGTTTCCTGTTCTTTAATTTTTCCTTGAAGCATTTCTTGGTTTTGTTCTAGAGCCTAAGAAATCCCCGATATGATGTGTCAGTGAAAAAAAAAAAAA